ACTTTCTTGGACAGTGGCGGGTCTGGAATGTGGTGCTTACTAGGTTTATCTCTGACCATTGAGCTTTTTGCCTTTGATCTGAAATTGCCACAGTTTTGAGAAGTGATACTTAATATTTAATAATCACTGAGACTGAAGACACTTCTTCAGCAAAGAAACATTACCTTCCTCTTTCATATATTTTCATGTTGGGTGTGTTTGAAGCGAATCGGAAGTCTAAGGAAAAAGAGTAGAACTCTTCTATCAGAATTGCAGTAGAGGAAAGGAGAGGTGGAGTTTGAGAATATGGTGGAATTATCAGGTGAGATTAGGGAAAAGGTTATCAGTAAATCTGAAGACTGTGTTTTCTAGTTGTTGTTTTTCTGTTTTCAACTAAGTCTCTGGTTTAGCCTTGTGAGGAGAAAGCCATTTTAAATTCTAGATAAGAGGAATATCTAGAATTTATCTTACCTAGAGAAAATTCTAGAGGAGCCCATCACTTTCATGTCTGTGTCATAATTTAGCTTTGTGTTAACAGTGTTTTCAAAAGCCATCTTTTGGACATTTTCAATAAAGGAACTGGGAATATTTTTTTTTATCAAAGGACCGTGGTCCATGGGGGAAAATTAATCTATGTTACAGTCAAGTAAAAATAAAAGATAATTCCTTTTTTCTAAGCAGAAATGTAAAATCAAGGAACTTGCTTTTGAAATTAAGAACAGAGACCATTACACTGGTGAATGTATTATGTTTAGGTGAGAAGTCCCAACACAAATTCTGAGAGTGAGAGAAGCCTACAAAAACCAAATTCAGGTAACAGGTTGGCGGGGTAGGGTTGGGGGGCTGTCCATTTGGTTTCTAGTGAGCTGCTGAGCTGAACGCTTAGTCAACTCGAAAACAATGGATGGAACCCAGCCATGGCATTGTCTCCTCATGCTAGGTCTAGAGTGGCCATCGGGGGCCAGCAGTCTCTTGCTCTGTTTATCTCTGGATGAGATCCCATGGTAATTAATTGGGTCATTTATAATTAAAAGTTTTATTTACAAATAAACTGCTAATAGGAGAAAATCCTAAAGGTAGTTTGACCCAGACTCAGGAAAATGTGTCATGGGAAGAGGGGCTGTACTCTGAGACTGAGTGGGCAAAGCCACCCATCTCTCATGACATGGCAGAAGGCCTGAACTTCTCCAACGCTCTGGCATGGACTTATGAGCTGCACACTGTGTTCTTCCACTAAAACTCGTGGCCCTTCCCCCAAATTATAGCCTAAAATAATTCATCAATCTATTAGCTTTCGGGCTATTTTGGCCATAATTTTTTTTAAGGCTGTAGTGCCTGCCAATACTTACCTGCTGATGAGCGCTAGCAAATGCCTACATGAAACAATAAATACGTAAGTGTTCAAATTGGAATTATGTGTAATCTGACAGGATTTTGTTGTTGTTGTGGCTCCTAATTGTGATCTTTTGCTATCAGATACATCGAAAGTAATGAATTTCTGCAAGTAAGATGACCCTTAGTTGTCTTGATGGATCTAAGTATACTGAAGCGTAATGGTTTTCAGTAGAGGGAGCTTGACTTCTGGGCTCCATGCTTCCTGAACAACTTGGAGCCGCGCCGCTCAAGGGCACAGCTAAGATCTGGAGTTCAGGGAGGCAGGCCTGGGCCCAGCGTTTAGAACAATCTAACAACCCAGAGTTTAAAAATGAAATGGGTAGTGGTTTGAAAATTAATCCTCATCACTGAAGTTACTCAAGTCAAGGCCAGGTGGCCCCCTGCTGGAAGCATCTTGGAAGGGATTCCAGCATTTCCATCCTTGCAGGAGAGATGATGCACACACAGCCTCTAAGAAGCAGTGTTGACATCTGCGGTTCCATGATTTGTCAGGAGCGCAAAGCTTGTTGCGCCCCTTTTGATAGACAGCAGATAGTCCCCTCAGTCCCTGAACATGTGCTGCCCCTCCAGAGTCAGTCGGGCCTGCCGATTCAGTCAGCACAGTTTTTAGTTGCTCCTACAAGTCAGGCATGGTGCCAGGCATCCAGCCATAAGCAGGCTTACTCTCAAGGGAGTGGACCCTGCCTTTAGGGAGCATCAAAGCCACCTGGAAAGCTTGTTAAAGGCCAATGACTGGTTCCCATCTTCAATTTCTGATTCATCAGATCTGGGTGGGGCCTGAGTCCGTTGCTAACAAGATCCAGGTGCAGGACCACATGGCCATGAGTAGCACTGGTTTAGGGCAGTGGTTCTCAACCGGAAGTGATTGCCTGCCGTCTGCATGTCCCTCCTGACATTTGGCAATATCAGTGACATTTTTGTTTGTCACCACTGAGGGGAATGGTGGGGGTGGTGCTACTGGTCTCTGATGAGCATAAGCTGGGGATACTGCTAAGCATCCCGTGATGCATAGGGTGCCCCCCCTCAAAAAAAAAATAAGCAGCCCACCTGTGATTAGTGCCGAGATGGAGAGACCCTCGGCTCGGGGATGACAGAAAAGGAAGTGCTCATGATAAACTCTGAAAAGCAAGTGCTTGTGATAGACTGTGATCAGGGCAGTTGAGAGTGCCACAGTGGGCCTGACCTTATCTGTGGGGGCAGTCAGGGACACGGGGAGGTGAACGGGGCTCACCTGCTCACAGGGCGGTCAGCTGCGCATGTGGCAGGGGAGTTTGCTGTTTTAACTGTGGAAGGAAACAAGTGAATTGCAGAGAGACCTGCCTGAGATGGCGGGGTTGGCATTTCACAGCATAAGTGACATTTAATAGCTTTATTGATTGCATGGGATTGCGTGTGATTCCACTGTTCTGCCCCAGGGGAACTCAGTACGCACAGCCAGGTGAGCACCTGCAGGTGGGCAGTGGTGGTGAGCCTGGAGATGCTGCAGAGGGCCCGAGGTGGCCACTTCAGCAAGGCCCTTAAAGGCACTGTCGGAAGAGGAACCATTATCCTGAAGGTGAAAGGAAGAATTGGAAGGCATAGAACAAGAATGTTCGTTGTGTTTTATGAGACGGTGGGATCTCAGTTAGCGAGGCTTTCCTGTGATCAGTTGGCCTTGTGAAAAGCCTTAAATAGCTAAGTCAACTTTTTATATAATCGTTATTCCGTTTATTTGTACTTTAAATCTGTAAGTTTGAAACACAGAGATTATCTCCTCAAAAAGCTGAAAGGGCCAGACTCTGCTGCCACTGGAACCTGTGTGAGTGAGGAGGCTGTCCTAGCAGCCCAGCCGTATAGCTGGTCCTGCAAGCTGCAGGTGTTGGGCACATCAGGAGTTGGTCCTGCTCATGGTTCATGAAGAGCGCCTCCCACCCCCAGGCCAGACCACACTGGGTCTTTTCAGGACAGGAAGGCCTTCCATCCTGGGTCATTGCTGATTCTGTCTCAATTATTCACAAGACTTTTTCTATCCCTCCGTGCAGGGTCTGCAGGACACACCCAAACACTTGCTAGTTTCCCCAGCAGGCAGTTTAATGAGACTCATGGTGTATTTTTTACACTCCCCAGTTGTCTGGCACATTTTATGACACAATGGCTGATCAGCCACCCCCTTGACTACTGCATCAAAGCCCCGTTGGAAATTCTATCTCCCTCTAAGCTGACCAGGTTTGGCTGACCCAAGTGCCACAAATGTTATTTAAATGATTTCTGTAGTCCCAACATTATACCAAGTGATTTTTAATATGTTTAGTTTTTAACATGGTTTTTAATATACACACAGTTATGATAATGTAAAGAGTACTGAAAATTATGTGATGAAAAGTAAGACTTCCTCCCTCCTCTACCCCAATTTTTCATTTTAGAACTTCTCAGAAACTAGTCAATTTCTTGTATGTTGTCATAAAGATATATTTTGCATTTGCAAGCATTCTTTATGAGGTTTTAACACAAATGGCCATGTGTTCCTCTGTAATTTTTTCCTTTTGATTCTATCCTGGGGTAGGTAACGTTGCCCCCCATTGTATAGGTGAGTTCCTTGAGACCATGAGAGTCACTTGCTCAGTGTCACGCAGTGAGTGGCAGAGCCGGCATTCAGACCAGGAGTTCCAGTTATAAGTGGAATTGCACCGAGTAACCCCAGGCGAGCTAACAATTAGATTCTCCAAGAAGGTTTGCTTTTGTCCCACTTTATACCGATGTCTTCTTTATACATTGCCTTATTCATTTAGATGACAAGTGAGGGCTTCACAAGGGAGAGGAGTATCCATGTAGCTTCCCTGCTTCCCTAGCAGTTTAGTGCTGGCCCCCAAATTGCACACACCACTGTCCAGACAGTGTACAGCCAGACCCTGACTCCGGAAGGCCACTTAGGGACCAGGAGTAGTTACTCGAGCTGCCGCCCACCCGAGACCTGGGGGTGTTTCGACTTGTAGGTGCTCGAGCCCCCACGCAGATTGGAAGCCCAGCCTGATCCATGCCTTTACCTGCCCCAGGTGCTGGGTAGGTGCCAGCTCTGTCAGTAGCTGTGCACCCTTTGGTACAGGTTGGAGCTGTTCCACACAGGGGACAGAGTAGACCCACCCTAAGCCACCTGGTGTCCAGAGGGCTCCAATTCCTATTCCAGGAGTAGTGGAGATTCTTAGAGCCTCAAGAGACATTTCCAGCAGCTCCTTCATGACAGCAGCAGTGACCATTGGGGTCATCTTGAAACTAGATGGATTGTTTGCAGTCTCAGTGGGAGTTCTCGGAAAACTCAACAGAATGGCCTAGTAGTTGATTGGCAGGTTGGGAAGAAGGTACCTGCTGCATGGGAACTCTGGCATGAGGCGTCTTTGTGGCCAGGACTTTATGGCACTGCCTCCCAAAGGCTCTGGGCACCTTCTCAGGAGAGCCTGAGAGGGGACAAATGTACCATTTAGAAAGTATTGTCTAATGCACACTCGCCCACAGAGCAGTGCTGTCTGAAGGCCAAACCCTGTTTTTAAGTTATGGTTGTTTAAGGTATTTGCTTAGAATTTTAGTTCCTGATGCTAAAAAACTGAGCTGCATTGCATGACTTTTGCACTGATCTTTCTCTTAATTGGCAGGTACCAAGGAGGGAACACATTCTTCCACCTTCTGGGTGCTGCTGAGTATCTTTCTGGGAGCAGTGGCCATGCTGTGCAAAGAGCAAGGGATCACCGTACTGGTGAGTGCCGCAGCGTGGCTGGGGCCTGCTCTTCTTGTGCATCCTTTTTCCTCCTATAAAAACATCTGGGGCTGGCCCTGCCTCTGTGGCATCCTCCACGCCTGCATCCCATTGCTAGCCTGAGGTTATAGATCTTTCTGGACAAATTACTCGCTGTCACATTTCTGGCATTTCAGATGGAGAATTGACTGTCTTCCTTGACAGTCATGCACAACTGGTGAGAAATGGTGAATGAGAAGTTCTTAGGGAGCCGTGATGAGTCGAATGGTTTGAGTTTTCTGGTTTGCTTGTACATATTTCGGCAGTCCTAGATCACTTAGGACTGACCCCATCAATGGTTTTGATCCAGGATCTAAAAGTGTAGTGGGTAGTTTAGAAATGAAGGAACAGAGCTCATGCCTGTAATCCCAGCACTTTGGGAGGCTTGAGGTGGGCTGATCACCTGAGTTTAAGAGTTTGAGACCAGCCTGACTGACATGGAGAAACCCCATCTCTACTAAAAATACAAAATTAGCTGGGCGTGGTAGCACATGCCTGTAATCCCAGCTACTCGGGAGGCTGAGGCAAGAGAATCACTTGAACCCGGGAGGCGGATGTTGCAGTGAGCCGAGATCACGCTGTTGCACTCCAGCCTGGGCAACAAGAGCGAAACTCCGTCTCAAAAGAAAAAAAAAAAAAGGAACAGGAGTTCTGCTGCCACTCAGAGCCTCACGTGCACACACATTCTGTCTCTCTCCTCGCCATTCCCCACCACAGCGGTTACCTATGGTCATAGTTAATCACCACGCAAGTGCAACTTCAAGCAGTGCTGGAGCCAAAGTGTTCCATGGTCACAAGTGTTTGACCTGAAATTAGAAGATTACTAACTAGTCTCATATTTAAAGGAGAATCTGCAAGGGTGCTACTGTTTCTAGTGGGACTTTGTTCTCAGAGGACTCTTTTTATGCCAGATGTGCCTGATAATCACATGTTTTAACTTCGAGCCTTGAAATTTTTCTCTGTGTAATAGGGTATATACTCTGTATTCTCTTGGGTACATCGTTTTCCTGAAGAGAACCTCTACCTCAGCTTCCACCGGCAGCATCAGGGAGTGAGGGAGAGGGCTCTCTTTCTGAAGCAGAAAGGCATCTACATTTTCATTCTGATCTGAGTAGATGCTAGGATTAAGTACCCAGGAAAGGAGAGGTGTTGAAATCTCTTTTTCTTTTTCTCTATTCTAGCCAGTTTGCTGCCTTACCTTCTTAGAAGAAAATATAGAAATTAAGACTGTGAACAGAGGTAGAGAAATGGAAAGATGTGGAACTTTTTCTTTTCTTTTTTTTTTTTTTTTTTGAGACAGGATCTCACTCTGTCACCTGGGTAGGAGGGCAGTGGCACGATTATAGCTCAGGGCAGCCTCAACAAGCCTCCCATCTCAGCCTCCCAAGTAGCTGGTACTGTAATTGTGTGCCACCACCCCAGTTAATTTTATAAAATTTTTTGTGGAGATGGGGTCTCCCTGTGTTGGCCAGGCTGGTCTCAGACTCCTAGCCTTGGAATTATAGGCATGAGCCATCGTGCTTGGCCAAGGAATAATCATATAGAAATAGCTTGAAAAGGAAAGAACAATTAAAGCTATTTGGGGCTTGATACAAGTCAAGGCAAAAAATTGCTGGTTTTATTAGGTTGTATCTATTAAGATTAAGCTAGCAAGGAGATGGTATAGGGAGAATTACCATGGAAAGATACTTGAATTTCTTGAGTTAATTTTTTTGCAGTTTGCTCTAAACCAATGTTTCTCAACCTTGGCACTATTAATGTTTTACAGCAGACAGTTCTTTCTTGTGGGGGCTGTTCTGTGCTTTGTGGGATGTTTAGCAGCATCCCTGGCCTCTACCTACTAGATGTCAATGGGACCCCTCAGTTGTGACAACCTAAAATGTCTCCAGACAGTGCCAGACGTTCCCTGGGGGTCAAAATAATCCCTGAGAACCGCTGGCTTTAGAACCTTTCCCTAATACAAAGTGTGGTTTGAGCTCCCAGTATCTGGGAACATGTTAGGAATTGAGGATCCCAGGCCCACGCCCTCCACAGGCCTGCCGAGTTGGAATTTGCATCCACAAGGCCCTCAGGTGGCTCCTCAGTGCAGTATTTTATTTTATTTTTATTATTTTTATTTTTATTTAAGTTGGGGTTTCTCTCTTGTTGCTCTGGCCGGAGTGCCATGGCATGATCTCAGCTCACTGCAACCTCTGCCTCCCAGGTTCAAGTGATTCTCCAGCCTCTGCCTCCCAAGTAGCTGGGATTGCAGGTGCGTGCCACCACGCCTGGCTAATTTTTGTATTTTTAGTAGAGACGGGATTTCCCCATGTTGGCCAGGCTGGTCTCGAACTCCTGACCTCTGGTGATCCACTCATCTCAGCCTCCCAAAGTGCAGGGATTACAGCCATGAACTACCACACCCGGCCTCCTCTGTGCAGTATTTCAGGAGCAGGAGAGAATTCAGTTGAATTTATATGAGTAAAGATATGGTGAAATGTACCTATTTTCAAAAATTGTATTCAAACAGGGCTATTTTGATGATGCATTTAAAAGAAAGGGGTCCAGTCTTGTGCTTGGCTAAGGCCTCTCCACCACATGACCCTGCCACCCCTTGGTGACTGTCTGCAGCTCACAGGAAAACTGAGAAGACAGCGGCTGCTACGTAGGGAGCATCTGCCTTCTAGAAAGTGGTTTTCAACCAGGCAGAAACGGTCTTCTGTGACCCACTAAGATCATCTCTCGTATGGGCAAATAAAATCAGGGTTCTTTGAACTGATTAACCCAGCACTGGCCCATGTATTGGATAATTAGTGGCTCCCAGCATTTCTGGGAGAGGGTTAAGTAGGGATGTCATCCTTGCTCTGAAAACCACAAATTACCACTGACTTCTGATGATGTGTGATCTCCTTTGTCACAAAGAAGATCATATTAAAAAGACCCAAGCCATTTAAGGGCAGCTTTAACTGTATCCACCGAGTATGTGCAGACCTCTTGATCCAGATTGGGTGGGGACTTCTGTAGATGACATTGCCTGCAGCAGTGACATTTGTAGAACTTACATTGCAGGAGAGAGAATAGAATCCAAGGCACAGCTCTCCTTTCACCCGTAACTACAGGTTTAATTTTACCTGCTAGATAGTAACTATTGTGGTGCTAGTGGAAACTGTTAACACAGGTGGACTGCTAATTGAAGTTATTTGTTGTGCATCTCATGGGTCATGGGCAGAGCTGTAAACTGATAGAGGTGGCCATCCTTCCTACCACGGCCCTGCCTGACAAAGGCCTGCTCTTATCAATGTGTGATTTCCAAAGTCACCCTGGGCAGCTCCATTCCAGCCAGCGGGAAGGGGAAACCAAGTGGGAATATGTGCCCACCTTTTACAACCAAACCTCCGAAATGGTACATGCCACTTCTCCCACATTCCATAAGGCTAGAACTCAGCCCAATGACCGAACTTAAATGCATGGGGGGCTGGGAGATGTCACCGTGTTGTAACCCAGCGAAAAAACTACTTTACAACCAGAACTCTGCACAAGAGATCCCCACAGCTCATCAGAAATTATCATGTGTATTCTAAAGATGCCAAAGTCCACCGGACATGAGGTTCACTTATGTGGTTTTCGAGGTTGGTGGCTACCTTTATCTTCCAGCATGATTACTGCCCAGAAAGCCACTCTGTTGTATGAACTAAAGGACTGTTTTATAGTGACCAAAAAAAGGGGGAGGAGTGGAAGAGGAATCTCTTGAGGCTTTTCCTAGGAATCCCAAATTTCCAGCTATCCTGAATCTTGTAGAACTCTTATACACAGACTGTGAAATCATTTCTTTCAGGGGCTTATTAAATAATAAATTTGATTTATTGCCTTGAGTTAATTTCATAGAAACATAGGGTTTTTTTTTTTTTAAAGCGCTGCAGAGGTCTTCTGTGATTCTCTTGTCTGTGCGCTCCTTGTCTAGATTGAGTAATGAAATTGTGAAGTATAATTGCTGCATAACAGAGCCAGGCTGTCCCAGGGCTGATTGTCTTGCTTTGCTCTCTTAGGGTTTGAATGCAGTATTTGACATCTTGGTGATAGGCAAATTCAATGTTCTGGAAATTGTCCAGAAGGTACTACATAAGGACAAGTCATTAGAGGTGAGTCTGTACTTTTATCTCCAGCCCAGACATGGAAAATGTCAAGTACCAGCAGATTTAAAATGCCATTTTCAAATATTCCTTGTGATTTTGAATTCTACAATAACCAGCCTTTTAAAAAAGCACAGTGTTGAAGTAGTTCAGGCAGAATTGCTGCACATTCGTACCTGGCTCAGCCACACTTTTATTTGAAAATCAGCCACCTCTGGGGCTTTGCGGTGTCCTTGCAGAATCTCGGCATGCTCAGGAATGGGGGCCTCCTCTTCAGAATGACCCTGCTCACCTCCGGCGGGGCCGGGATGCTCTATGTGCGCTGGAGGATCATGGGCACCGGCCCGCCTGCCTTCACCGAGGTGGACAACCCGGCCTCCTTTGCTGACAGCGTGCTGGTGAGGGTGAGTTCTCAGCCTGCTGCCCTCCAGACTGTGTTCTTCACCCACCAGATTCCCAGATCCCTCACCCCTCCTGCTTGTCTCACTCCTCTCCAGGCCAAGGAAATCCCCAGCGCAGCCACCTCCATGTTTGTTTGCAATCGCTAAGGATGTTCTGGGGTGAAAGCAGGTCTTCCTGAGGGGGGTGAAAGGGCGGGGCATTTCTGTTCTAATGAGGAAGGCGGTTCCTTCTCACATCAGGGTCCTTGCAAGTCATGTGAAAGGGCGCCCTAACCCTGTGGCTGGGTTAAGACTAAATCTAACCATCTTGGTGGTATCTTGAGAAGACTGGTGGTGTCAAGACTATTTTTTTAGATTTGCCTTTTTCCTAAAGGCAAGGGTATCAAGCCACCAATTCTCAGCTGTGCATTTTATAGAGACCCAAATCAAGAGAACAACCATTTAACCCGATGTGTAAGACCCTGACCGAATACTTGGGTTATTGGACACATAGGTGACCCTGGGGCCTCAGATTTCAGAGGTCACGGGCTTCAGGCAGCAAATAGGTCATAGCTTGGCCAGAAATATTATGAATGTATTGCATAGTCTGGCGGCTTTGCGATATTTTTATATACCAAAATCTGAAAGCATTTAATAAATTATGGACTACAGTCGCATACCCAGCAGCATTTTATTTAATGCAACTGCTTTCGTTGAACAGAAGCATATGTGTGCCTCAAGTGAAGTTAGTGCATATATATATATGTTTTTTAAGTTCAATATCAAATAAATGTTTGTTTTCCTTTTGACTGACAGGCCATAAACTATAATTACTACTATTCATTGAATGCCTGGCTGCTGCTGTGTCCCTGGTGGCTGTGTTTTGATTGGTCAATGGGCTGCATCCCCCTCATTAAGTCGGTCAGCGACTGGAGGGTAATTGCACTTGCAGCGCTCTGGTTCTGCCTAATTGGCCTAATATGCCAAGCCCTGTGCTCTGAAGATGGCCACAAGAGAAGGTAAGAGGCAATGCTGAATTTTAACTTCCACGCTGGTTGAATCAGAGGTGTTTTGTGAAATCCTGCACTGATCATTTTAACGGTTTTGTGGAAGTCACGTCTAAGGACATTTGTTTCAAATGCATATTTATGGCTAGGATGAGTTCCATCCATTCGGAATCCATGGCCGGCTTCCGCAGGTGGGGAGCGAGGCTGGAAGAGGGGCTGCGGATGACTGCTTCATCCCCCCTCCCCCTTTCTCTGGGAAGTGGCATTTTGCGATCCTTTTCGCTGTAGGTGGTAAAGAGTAATTTATGGTCAGAACAGAGAGTGTAATTGATGTGTGTTGTGCCCATTATTGCACAATTCTTCCTCAAAACACCCCAGTGAACATGACCGTGATTCCTTCTGTTGTTGCTGGGTACAAAATAAGCCACTGCCCCAAAGAGACTGTTCTTTCTTGATGAAAAAAAAAAGTTATTGAGAAAATAATTGGGGAAAACAAATGTGTTTCATGAAAAAGAAAACTGTTTAAGATGATTTCCTTTAAGCCTAAGTGTTTATGGAATTAGATTAGTAATTTCTCAAAATAAATTAAGTTTTAGGTTTACCTGTGTCTTTAAATTGGTTGGTAATTCTAAAGAGCCACAAACTTTGGTCCCAGTTCCCTTATCCACAGGAAATGGGATTTTTTAAAGAAATATTGTAGATAAAGGGCCCACCAAGGAGCCACCAACATTGACCCTGAGTCTTAATTCATCCTCTTGCATCATAAAGGACATTGGGAATGATCAGTTGGTTTTAGAAGTGTTTCAATGCTCAGCTTCGTATCTCCCTGACTGAAATTTACAGTGATGTAGCAACCAAGAAATGGTGTTTGTTTATTTCAGATTTCGTAAACTTTAAACTACTTAAGTGTTGTTGTTCTTGTTAAGTTTTGGAGGAAAAATTTTTTTCCCCCGTGAAAATAGATTGGGACAGTTTTTTAGCTAATTGAGACCAATATCCACTGAACTATTTAGTACCTAAGCAGTTTGAGGCATAGTAAGGAGTACGTGGATTAATAAGGCCTCAGAAGTGTGATCACTTTAGCTTTCTCCATACAAATTGTATGGCTTTTAAGCTTTACCCTTAGGCTCGCTGTGAAGTGCCTGAGGAATATTTTTACGCCTTATCCCCGTGCTACCAAGCGAAACTCTCGCTACTGATGATATCCTTTGGCTGACAGCAATACCTTTTCTCAGTTGATGGTATAAAAAAGAAAAGAAAAGGTCTTTAGCATTAATTTAATGTGGACAGCTAGTAATTTAGTAATTTCTCAAAATAAATTAAGTTTTAAGTTTACCTGTGTCTTAAATCAGGTGGTAATTCTAAAGAGCCACAGACTTTATCCACAGGAAATGTTTTTCTTGAGAAGTCTGGAAGTAGTCATTTCTTTCAATACTTTTCATCGTCCAGGATCCTTACTCTGGGCCTGGGATTTCTCGTTATCCCATTTCTCCCCGCGAGTAACCTGTTCTTCCGAGTGGGCTTCGTGGTCGCGGAGCGAGTCCTCTACCTCCCCAGCGTCGGGTACTGTGTGCTGCTGACTTTTGGATTTACAGCCCTGAGCAAACACACCAAGAAAAAGGTATCAACCAAGAATGGTGCCGAGGGATGCAGGAAACGACCGACGCATCTCACCGGTGGTATTTACCGTGTCTCTCTGTTCCTAAGAAACTCATCGCAGCTGTTGTGCTGGGGATCGTACTCATCAACATGCTGAGATGCGTGGTGCGCAGCGGCCAGTGGCGGAGTGAGGAACAGCTTTTTAGAAGCGCCCTGTCCGTGTGTCCCCTCAACGCTAAGGTACCTACCTGCCAGATTTCTTTCAAAGAGACCTTACTCTCGGGAATGTGTTAAGTTCTTCAGCTGAACAAGAACATTTCCTATCGTACGGTATGTAGTGTAAGACCATGACCGAGTACTTGGCTTTTTCTTTGTTGTGTGTGTGTTTTTTTAATTATTTTGGTAAGATTCATTAAAATTCCACTCAACCAAAATTGAAAAGAAATCATTTAAAAGCAGACAATATCAGTGAAACAGTTGACTCTAATGAGATCTTACTCATCTTCCAGATGATCTTTTTGCCCTTTGAAGTAGCTTCAGGGGAGGTGACATTGTGTATTCAGACTGAGCATGGACATGGTACAGATTCTGACATCTAAGTGCACTTTTCAAAGCCCACTCTCTAGCGATTGCATTAACTAGCCTCCTCCAAGCTGTAATTTAAAGGGGTAGTAATACCTACAAATTGGCAATAATTTGCTTCAGGAAGTTTAAATTATGCTATATGCTGCTCAGTAGTACACATTTATGTCACCTTTGAGTCCCCTGCTTGTGATTTTTTTGGGTCAGATTAGGTAAACATAAATGTACACACAGTCATGTGCCATATTAACAATGTTTTGGCCAGCAAACCACATACAGCATATATACGACCGTGGTCCCATAAAATTATATCTTGTTTTGAGGCTGGGTCTCACTCTGTCACCCAGGCTGGAGTGCAGTCATGCAGTCTCGGCTCACTACTGCCTCCACCTTCCAGGTTCAAGGGATTCTCCTGCCTCAGCCTCTTGAGTAGCTGGGATTACAGGTGCCCGCCACCACACCCAGCTAATTTTTGTATTTTTAGTGGAGATAGGGTTTCACCATGTTGGTCAGACTGGTCTCGAACTCCTGACCTCAAATGATCCGTCCACTTCAGCCTCTCAGATGCTGGGATTACAGGTGTGAGCGACTGCACCCGGGCAGTATTTTTACTGCCTCTTTTCTGTGTCCTTACCATTGTGTTACAATTGTCTCAAGTATTCAGTACAGTCACACGCTGCATAGGTTTCTGGCCTAGGAGCAACAGGCCGGACCACACATAGTCCAGGTATGTAGCAGGATCTACCATCTAGGGCTGTGTAAGTACACTCTATGATGTTCAAACAGTGACAAAATCACCCAACAATGCATTTCTCGGAACGTATCCCTGTTGTCATTAAGTAATGCGTGACTGTACTCTAAAATTGGCAGTGTATTTGGTTGAAGCAACCTGGTAGGAATTTTTTCATTTGTATTCTTGATGAATACAAGCCCTTCGCTTGACTAGCTGTGCCTCTTTGGGCAAAACTAGACTTTTAAAAACTTTCAGTGCGTTTTTCTATCAGAAGTGGATAATACCCATCTGCTGGGTTTGTTGTTAGGGCTGAATGAACTAAAATGCCCCCACACAGTGGCCAGCACATAGTAGGTGCTCAAAAAGTGTCAGCTTTTTAAGGCTCATTTCAGCCTGGGTTTTGCATTATGTTGGAAGAGAATGCTGTTTGCTCAAAATGGGGGCCACAGGTTTGGTTAGGTTAGAAGAATTCTCTGTTAATATAGATTATTATCATTAAATAATGATTCATTCTCTCTTAGGTCCTCAGAATTAGAGCTGCCTAGGATGCTTATATGTAATCCTCCTGAATGGAGAGGGGATCTGGATCGCTGTCTCATTTCTGTGTTCCATATTTAAGGGAAGGCAATAATTTCAGACAAAGTTATGTAAACAAAACTAATGAATAGTTGACATCTTATTATGAACTTTAAGTGAAGAATAATATATAAAAGATGCTGGCTATTTATCTTTTCTTGGATTAAAACCTCTTGTTCATATTTTACAGTTAAGAGACTTAGATAAAATAGTGAATTACTTTATCTTTAATTTGATTTGCTGACTTATCAATTTATTTTATGCAACCAAAAATAAATTGCCTGTGATTTAATTTCATAAATGTTAATAGATTTTCTTTATTTTTACTTTGCTGTTTGAATAGCAGAATTACCCCTTCTATTTGTGTAGTTCTTCACCACAAGGAGTTCAGATTTCTTTATAGAGGCACTATAATTAATCTCTATTATCCTCTCACCAAGGTTTTTAGAGAGGGTATTATTTTCTCTATGGTCCCAGATGGGAGATACTGAGGCATAGCAAGATTAAACTGACATTATCTAGGCTAGTAATTTAGGCGGCTAGAGAGAGACCTGGTGTGGTGATGTGCCCAGGTGCCTTTAGTAAATAAGGAGGTTGGAACATAGGTGACATCTGAACCCAAAAACCTGCCCAAGAAGTGATTTCATATGTTATAGACTAGAAAACACGGGGCGTACCCTTGTGGGCATGCACAGAAGTATTAGGAGAAAGAGAATGAGAGGGAGTGAGAGTGTGTGTTTGTGAGAGAGAGAGAGAGAGAGAGAGAGAGTGGGAATGGGAATGAGTTCTTTTCTTAATTTAAGGAATACAGGAATACATATAAGACCTCATCTTCAAAAGGGACTCAGTGGTAATAGTCCTTTCTTAAGAACATTTTTCAATGATACCATTCAATATAAGCAAGATAGAGGGTTTTATTTTTTTGTTTCTTTATATATGTATGTTTTATATATATATATATATATATATATATATATATTTTTTTTTTTTTTTTTTTTTTTT